GGAAATAGTTAATATGAAGCAGAGTCTTTCAAGTCATCAACCAGCTTAACATGGCTGATTTATTTTTTAGAGAAAAAAGCAGTTTATTAGTCACAGATGTGCATGTTTCTAGTCTTAAGAAAGCTGGGACTAGAATGAGAATTCCCATTTCCCTTCCAATTTCAAAAATTTGCCTGTTTGTTGGAGGTAACTTTATCTTCTAGTTTGAGGGGGTCAGAACCCATGCTGCTTGCCCTTTAGCTTCAAAAATATATTTATGGACTCTGAGTGAACCCTCTGACCTCACTACCAGAGCAACATATGTGGTTTTTGCTTTCAGGGAAATGGCAGTTAAATGCGTTCTTTTCTTATTGTGGCTATGAATTATAAAACAAAGCCCATCCGTTAGGCTTTTTAAAGTAGTTTTTTTGAATTGCAAAACTTTCTCTACTTGAACAAGTAGTGATTTTATTAAATTCGATGGTTTCTTGTTGGATTGGTGTTGCTGTGTATGACTGCTATATATGTGCTAGGCTTTTCTTCTCTCCAAGATGTCCATCTGTTGCATTTATCTTTTTCTAAAAGGGAGTCTAATTCTCACTAGAAAGTTTACTGTACTTGAAACACATTTGGGGTTAGCATACCCCAAATTTATTCCATCTGTTTTAGATTTAAAATTCTATGTTGTTCTCACTTGAATTTTGAATACTCCTTTTTTCCTCTTAGCATGTCGTAGTGATAAAGTATTCTTGAGCAATGCTAGAAAAACAATTTTCTATGTAGTCATAAAGGAAACAAAGCTGATTTAGTGTAAACAATCCCAAGCATGGTAATGCATCAAACCAAGTCTGTATCCCTAATTACATAGATAGAAGTCATATATAGTGATGGGACGGGGAGAAATGAGACACTCCCATGGGGCTCTTCTCACAGTGAAGGCGAAAGGTCTTTCTGTGCTCTTAAAAATGCCTGTATTGGATATTGATATTCCCTAATGGTTCGATCTGGCAATGCCTCTACATAAATACATGAACGCGGGCACCCAGGTTCTGTACATGACTGTGCTTTAGTATTGTTGCTGGGGTCGTGAGGATACAGATGGGAGTAAGTAAGTGGAAAATCTGGATGCCTGTTGGCTGGAATAGGGTGGGAAAATAGATGGTAAAGGGTCTCTCTGGGAAAATACTGACATAGAATATTTCTAGTGAGTGTTAACTCAGCTATGAGGTTTTAGAGATGTTTTCTGCAAATTTAAGGAGGGGCAAAAGGTCAGATCTGATCTCTGAAGAGGCCTAGTGGGCTGGTATTCTTTTCAGGTTAACAGTGGTTATTTTAAATCTCTATTTTTTAATGCCCTATTTAATAAAATTAGATCTTTAGGCTGATGCTTATATAGCAATGAAGTATTTTTATTGATTTAAAAAGGTGTTGTCAATGCATCCAAGTATCTTAAGGGCGGGTTTCAGGAAGATGGGGCCAGGCTCTTTTTGGTGTCCAGTGACAGAACAGGGGGCAATGGGCGCAAACTGAGACGTAGAAATGTCTGTCTGAATATGAGGAAGAGCTGCTTTACTGTGAGGTTGGCAGAGCACCGAAACAGTCTGTCTTCAAAGGTTGTGGAGTCTCCTTCACAGGAGATACTTAAAACCTGCCTGGATGAAACCCTCTACACCCTGCAGTGGGCATGTTCTAGCTGATCTCCAAAGGTCCCCAACCTTTGTGATTTTCCTTCTCTCTGAGTGATTTCAAGATTTAAAGAGCAAAGTGGAACAGTGCTATCATTTCAGTGTGCTGCTTACATGATGTCCACTTTTGTGATTCCCTGAAGCCCCAATAATACTTCAGTAAGGATTTCATATTAAGTCATGCAGAAGGGAAGATAAGAAGCAGTTACATGCCGCATGCCAAATGAAAACTAATGTTGTGTGGGAGGATATGGGTGAAGTATGTGCTGTGGAACATGTCTGACTTACATTGTTTTGTCTCTTAGATCCTCTCTGCTTGAGCAGAGCGTACTTATTTCTCCATGCTCTTTTCCCTCCCCCTGCCCACAAACTCTTGGCTGAATTGGGTTAAGAGTTAGGAGTGGTACAGCAGAAGTACAGTCAGACAAAAATACTTGCCTTCCACAGTTTCAGGGCCTCTGTCCTGTACTGCTTGGTTTTACAAGAAATTCTGTAGTTGCTAAGTGTAGTTTGTCAAAAGGATGTGTGAAAATCTGAGGAGGTGGAACACACTTTATAAAAAGAAGGAGTTTATTAACTGGATGCATGTTATATGCTTAGAAATAGGCATGTTTATGTAAAAGTCAATCGTATGCAATCAGTTACTGCACCACCATGCTGCCTTTTTGTTAGAAAGGAGTAATTGCAAAGGAAAGAAATGCAACAGATATAAAAATACAAAAGAGTACAGGGTGAACTTCAGGCTTAATTTTTTCTTCTTATGTAAACAAGTGAATGTTCTCTATTTTATTTGCATGGAAGAACCTTGTATGAACTGTTATTGAGAAGGAAACTATATACAAATGAAAGAAAAATTTGTCTGAGTAGTTACAACTTCTTCAATCTTAGGAGTTTTGGAAACAAGGCATTTAGTTTGTGCTTTTATAAACTTGTTTACAATAACACCACTATTTTCTCATCTTCAACAGTCCACTAGCAGAGTAGCAGAAGGTTATTTACTGAAATACCCATCAGCTGATGTTTGCTGTGATTTCTAGAACAAGACATCTGATAATAATTAAAATGCATGATACAGTAAATGTAAAGATAAGTTTGGTGAAAGAGCAGTCAAACCAAATTCTTACAGATGTTTAACAGGAGATTGTTTGGATTCCTGTGGAGAGCTTGCAGATGGTTGCAAGTTTTGCTTGGAATTTTTTTAATAAGCAGATCAGGGTTTTTTAAAGAGTCAAAAATCTGTCATGATGTGGATGCTGGTGGCTAGTAGGCTTGCTTTTCTTGCATATGTGCTGAGAACCCCTAAGCAGTAATTCTGGTGCCTTGAGGGATACTCAGTTTGCAACTTGAAAACCATTGTTATAGATAATTCATTTCTTCCTTATGCTTTCCACTTCAGCAAGAAAGTAATGTAGCAGTTCTTAGCACTGCTCTCCCATGATTTAGAGACAAAGACAGCTAGTGTTGCTTTGCATTTGCTTTTTTGCTAATACCCTTACTTAAAACCTTGAAGCCATGTTAATGACACCATGTGAACCCTCCTTACCTATGCTCACAACAGCTACAGCTGTTGCTGGAAAATAATTCTGCCGTTCAAGATGTGACTTGATATAAAGCATTAGCAGCTAGCTTGTTAGACTGAAAGTATGATTTTTAAAATTTGTTTATCTTCAGCTTTGTGGAAACATGATGAAAGTGGTGGTTAACAGCAATTATTATGTATGTGTTCATAGTGTGTAAGTTACAAATGTTCTTGGCATCAGAGCTGATGTACCTTAATGGTGCCATGGGTTTTATGAGAACAGAGAAACATTTTCATAAACAGCATGATAGATCACATTTTGGATTCCAAAGAAAGGGTGCCCTTTGTGAAACAGCTTGAACATGAAGGAAAAGTAAAAAGTCCTAACTTTTTATATCCACATTTTATGTCTCTTTCCCCATCTCCATTCAAAACCATCATTTACATTTAAGCGCTCTGTGGAAATGGAACAACCTCACATATTTGCATGTGGATCCAAGGATTTGGATGTTTCTGATGAAATGTTTTGCTACATCAATGTAGCAATATTATGTAGCAGTGCAGAATATTATTCCACAAAGTTCAAACTATCTCTGGTCAGATTGGCAATACACCTCTTAGGGCAAACCTGCCAGAAGAAGTGATCTGAACATCTGTGTCAAGCTTTAAGAAGGAGTACAAGCACTACAAATAACTCCCAGCAGGAGAAACATTCAACAAAACATTATTTATGTCATCCTTATGTAAACTATCTGTCTGCAAAAGTGCATACACAGGGGGAAAAAAAAACCCATATTTAACAACCTAGGATAGTCCACACTAGTGGTGGACAAGATTTAGAAGAGTAGTGTTACAAGAATGTTTCCAGGTCCCCACTTCACACACACCTCCTTTCAACCCCCCCTCCTCCCCTACCCAAAAAAAAAAAAAAAAGAGGAAAAAGAAAAGATAATTTTTAGGAAAAATGCTGGGGGGAAACAGCATTCTGCTGCATGGGAAAGAAAGAAATCTGGTCTCACAATAGCTAACCAGTGGGTGTTCATTATAAGCATATAGTCCTGGTCAAGTGACAGGAACCTTAGCGGGAAAGTGTTTTTGACCTCATGCACATTAAACTATGTCTTGAGAAAAGTGTATCCTTTGTTTCATTACAGAACTTCAAGTATGTCATGCTGAGAACTACTGCTGATCCTGAGATTCCAGCAAGTGGGCTTTTAAACACTGCTTGTGCCTTTTTAAGAAACAAACAAAGCAAAACCAACACTCACAGAAAATTTAAGCAGAAGACAGACATTTAACTGTCTTCTGGTTTCTTCTTCCCTCTGTCCCAAGGGTAGGAGAAATATATAAATAACAAAAGTAATTGGAGCATTTGTAATTAAATTCGGTGTTTGAAAAATGATTTTCTTATCTCACTAAGGCAATTATTGTTACCCTTCATGTCTTTGCTCAAAGCAGTAAACATTGAAAGATAAAACACGCATATCCTTCCATAAAGTTACATGAGTTACATGACATATAGAAAGTATAATTCACTATCAAATAAGCATCAGCAGTGGGAAGTAGGAATTATATTTGAGGCAGGAAGGACTTAATGAAGCTTGCCTGTTCTAAACACATCAGTGGTGCTTATGCATGGACAGCCATGTGCAGCATGAACACTGATAGTTGCAGTATCATTAAAGGCCAGGTTACATCAAAAAAATCTCATTGATTGGTCCATAAATTAAGTACCATATCCATTATTACATACATCCATTTGTATCTCACTTGACAGTGCTTTAGCTTTAAAGTGATTGCCTTGTTCTTTTTTCCAGACTCTCTTTCGGTCTCCAGCAACGATGCTAGTCCTCCCGCTTCCGTGACATCGCTTCAGCCCCACATGATCGGTGCTCAAAGCTCCCCGGGCCCCAAGCGCCCTGGCAACACCTTGAGGAAATGGCTCACCAGTCCTGTGAGGCGCCTTAGCAGTGGGAAGGCAGATGGGCATGTCAAAAAACTGGCCCACAAGCATAAGAAAAGCAGAGAGGTCCGTAAAAGTGCTGATGCAGGCTCTCAGAAGGACTCCGATGACAGTGCAGCGACCCCACAAGATGAAACTGTTGAAGAGGTAAGTGCTCAAGGCAGTTTCCCAAGACTTTTGTGTATGTTTTTCAAGGAACTAAATGTTTTCAGGTGAAGGTTGTCTCGTCTACTGACTATCCAGCAATGGAGCAAAGTGTTACATGCCCTGTGCTCATCCTTCAATGCTGTACTCTGTGTGAGTTCTGTGCCAGGCACAGTTTTGTGCCCTCTGAGAGCGTTAGTGAAGCTCTGTGAAGTGCCTGTGATTTAAAAAGAGAAACAGGAGAATAAAAAGTTGTCCTTTGGCTTTACTGCCTTATGCTAATTAGGAAGGTGGCTTTGTGAGTAAAGGTGCTTCAAGATCTGGGAATAATCAGGTAATTTTGTACTTCCCTTGCTTTTCTTGTTGATGGATCAGGGAGTGTAGGGAGAGCTGCTTAACTGCTTAAAGCTCTAATTGCACCTTGCATAAGAGTCAGAGCACAGGAAAATTACTGGCTCTTCAATGCAGGCTAGTTACCACTAGTCAAATAATAATAATCGCATAATTTTCATTGGAGAGAAGGAAATTGCGAACTGTTCCAAATTTTACCACCAAGGACATCTACTGAGGGCTTCCCTTCTTCCCACATACATGTGCCTCTCCTTCAAAGTCTGGAATTCATGTATGAACAAAGCTGGTTTCCAGTTAGGTGCAGAGAAGAGCCAAATTCTCTGTAACCTATAGTTCAGGCTGAAATAAATGTCATGTTACTGCTTCCAAGAGCACAGCTGGGTGCATGTTACTCCCTTTTATTAGATTGACTCTGACTGTTGATTTTGGTACTTACCATACAGAAAAGTGGTCTCAGTTGCCCAAGTTTTTATTTATTGCTGCTTTTTGTTTTTTATCTTCCTCCCAACATATTTTTCTACCTGGAACACTACTGAAGTTCCACAGTATGTGTAGGGAAAGGAAAGACTGAAGACTTGGCAGCATGATGAATTGAGAGATGTTGGTTAGGAATGAATACTGACCTCTGACTTTGAATGTCAGGCTGTAGAAAGAGACCCTTTGTGCTGCAGTTGTTACATCGTTTTGGCAGTATCTGTTATTCTGCAGTTCTGTGAGTCAAGGGAAAAATTTAAGGCCAGTGCCTTGAAGTCAGGAAAAAACAATAACCATCTATGCTGTCTTTCTGTAAAGGTAGATAAATTATCGTGTGAGATCAGTACATAAAACTTTGGGTACTTGAAATCAGACTCTTCGTGGGGGACAGAAAGGATCATTGATGAAATCCTTCATATTTTAATAGGGGTTTTTTATGTACTCTAGAAGTCTTGCTATGATACAGAGCAAGATATATATTTCAGAGAGATACAGATTTCTCTTTACAGAACTGAACTTGGAAAGCAAGCATGGCTTTGATAACACTTCCCTGTGGTAAATTTCATCTGAATGTCTTTTTCTTAATATTTGAATTCTTTTGCTTTTACCACACATTGAAAAGTGTCTTTGGCATCTGCATTTTCCCCCTCCTTTAAGGAGTGTTTGTAGGAGCATCTTGACTTGTTGGGAGAGGGCTGAAACTACAGAATAGACTTAAAACGAGCATGTGATAACAAGTTTCATGCTGTTGAGATAACAGAGCTTGAACATCTTGATGTTATTTACAGAGGGGTCGGAACGAGGGGCTGAGCAGTGGCACACTTTCCAAGTCATCCTCTTCAGGCATGCAGAGCTGCGGAGAGGAGGAAGGTGAAGAGGGAGCAGATGCTGTGCCGCTTCCTCCTCCCATGGCAATTCAGCAACACAGTCTCCTGCAGCCTGACTCACAAGATGACAAGGTAGGACCAGGACATGGGGGAGGCTTCACATGATGCGATAACCTCTGCACAAATCTTTCTTCTGCTTCCAAAGGTCTTGAAAATGTACATAATACAGCTTCATGGTAGACAGAAGTAATGACTTTTGCCCTATAGGCAACTTTAAAAGGGTGTTCTATGAAAAGAACATGAATTAAATCCTTCTCCATTTTAAGCGCACAAATGTAGAAATTTTTTCTGCTAGTACTTTAAATGTGGAAATGTGCTGCTTTCTGTGCCCACAGGATAATTTACGTCACTTTGCCTGATGCCATATTTAGTTATTAGAGTCCAATTGTTTTATAATCATACCTTCCGTTATTCTTGATTTTTGTTTGGGCTTTTTTTTTGTTGGTGCAGGGGACGGGGGGAGGAAGAGGGGGATGCCTAAGAGAAAGGAATTACCAAATAAGAGTAATAATTGTCATGGTTTAACCCCATCCAGCAGCTAAGCCCCACACAGTCACTGTTCCATTGTCCCTGTGAGAATCAGAAGGGAAAGAGTGAAAAAACTCTTGGGTTGAAACAAAGACAGATTAATAGGAAAATCAAAAGCCATGCACACAAACAAGGCAAAGCAAGGAGTTAATTCTCCACTTCCCATAGATAGGCAGGTGCTCAGCCATCCCGAGGAGAGCAGGGTTCCGTCATGGGTAGCGGTGACTTGGGAAGGTAAAAGCCATTGTTCCAAATGTCCCCTCTTTCCTTTTTCTTCCCCCAGCTTTATGTGCTGAGGATAATACAATATGGACTGGAATATCCCTGTGGTCAGTTGGAGTCAGCTTTCTGACTGTGTCTCCTCTCAACTCTGTGTGCCCCCCCTCCCATTCTTGTCACCAGTGGGGTGGAGTGAGAAACAAAAAAGACCTTGGTGCTGTGTGAGCTGTGCTCAGCAATAGCTGAAACACCCCTGAGTTACCAACACTGCTTCCAGCACAAATCCAAAACATGGCCCCATACCAGCTACTGTGAAATTTAACTCTGTCCCAGCCAAAACCAGCACATAATCCATCTGTTTTTCACTAAAAAAAATGCATTAAAATTGAAGGTAAAAATTTTGAACCGGTAATAAAACTTCAGATGTAGGTAGTAACTGCATGAAGAAAATCTTACTTGTGAATGATCTGTTTTTCTTTAATGTTATGATATTCATACATTAAGAGAGTTTATTTCAGTTTTGAACCTGGATCAGACATTTAATGGACAAGTATCAGGTCTGGAAATAGAGGGGTTTAAAAAAATGGAAGTGATCTGGACTTGTACAGCAAATATGCACATTATTGTTTTCTTGCCATTTTGCTCCTTAAAATTTTTAACCTTTGTAATCTACAGCACTGAATATTGCTAGTGAATTTTGTGATTGCTTGCTCTCTGTTCTCAATGGTGCAGATGTTATTCATAACTTTAGTAGATCTTATTTATTTTTTCTTATTTTTTTTTCTTCTAAAAACACTGCCTTTCAGTAGGAATCTCACTCATCCCTGAAGCTATCATTTGTAGGATCAAAATGGGTGGTTCTTACACTGTGTGTATTCAATTCCTACACATTTGCTGAATTGACAAAGTGTAACATATGAGTTGAAGAGTTAATATATTGGAAAATATTCCTGAAACAAAAGAAGCAAAACTAAGCCAGCCTTCAGAGCTGATGTTTTCTCACTAGAATAATCTCAATTTCAGATTTAGAAATAAGATGAAAATAATATTGGTGAAAATATATTTAAGCTCTTGCACATGAGCTGCCATATTTGCATGTTCCTTTAGTGAAAGAAAACAATTAATATACAAATATTATAAGAACTTCTCCACAGAAAAATTAATTTTGTTATAGACCCCTTTACATAGCAAGAACACTTACATGAAGGGATATGTTTGTAAGCTTACTTTTGTATTTCTGGTGCAAAGTTAGACATGTACCACAGTAAAGAAAGACTCTTTAAGTAGTTTTCCATCTTCAACAAGTTTTATTTTCACTGCTGTTGTGGTTTAAACCCAGCAGCCACCAAGTATCACCCAGCTGCTTGCTTACTCCCCTGCCAGTGTGATCAGGGAGAGAATGGGTCAAGTAAAAGATAGAAAACATATGGATTGAGATTAAGCAAAAACCATTCACGCAAGCAAAGCAAAACAAGGAGTTAATTCACTGCTTCCTATGGATGGACAGGTGTTCGGCTATCTCCAGGAGAGCAGGACCCCATCAGGTGTAATGGTGACTTGGGAAGAAAAATGCGATCACTCCAAATGTCCTCCCCTTCCTCCTCCTTCCCTCCACATGGTCTGGAATATCCCTTTAGTCAGTTTGGGTCACCTATTCTGGCTGTGTCACCTCCCAGCCTCCCAAGCATTCCTCACCAGCAGGGCAGTACATAAAAAGGGAAAAGGCCATGGCTCTGTGTAAGCCCTGCTCAGCAATAACAAAATCATCCCTACATTATCAACACATTTTTTAGCACAAATCAAAAATGCTGCCCCGTACCAGCCACTGTGAAGAAAATTAACTATACCCCAGCCAAAATCAGCACAACTTCTTAAAAATTTACTAGGCACCCACTTCAGTAAAAACATGTTGGGACAGTTTTTAAAGTAGCTGAAACTACCTTTAGAGAAGAGTTCGGAGAAGTTAAAACTTAGTAAAGTTAGCATTATACCATAATTTTCAAAGCATGTAAATAATGATTCCTCTGCAATGTGTCATTACTATGCAATATTTGTCTTTCATGGTGGGAGGCAAAAGGTCCCCTCATGGGGCATCCTGGGAAGGTTGTGTGTGCCCCCCTGAAGTCCACACACCACCAACTTCCAGCATCTAAAGTAAATGCTTTATTGGAACACAGAAGTGAGAGGCCAGAGCAAAATTTTACCCAGGAGAAGGTAGTTGGCTCTATTGATAGAGTTACTGATTAATAAAAGGCTTGCAAACAAGTTCCCAGTTGTCTGTCTTCTGGGCGGAGTCCTTCTTCACATTCCTGCCATGCTGGGTGGTTTCTTGGGCTGCTCAGCTACTCCACATCCCAAGGAATGTCTCCTCCTTTCTGTGACCTCAGAGACTTGGCATTTGTCTATGCCTCCCTGAAGCATTTCTTCCTCTCCAGAGCTCCTGCTCAGTGCTGGAAACACGCTGTTTGCTGGGTTTCTCCTTCCCCTCTTAGCCTGCTGTGGGCCCCTAGCAGCCTCTCATACCTGTGTGAGCTCAGTTGCTCCCTCCAGCTTTTCTTTCTTTTCTGGACAAATGACAAATGATGTATTCTGCTCCCAGAGTACATCATCAGGAAAATCAGCAAGGAGTTTTATCTGTGCAGCTCCTTCTTTTTCAGATAATATGTAATATAACCACAAGCACTGGAAATCACAGTTCTGAAGCTTTACCTCACATACCCCAACAGAGTAATAAAAGAGACCAGAACCAGAACCTGATTTCAACACTTAGCAGTGTTTTTAAAGACAAAGCTGAGCTCTGCATCCAAAGTGAAAACTCACACACAGGCACGGCTGTGGAAAACCTGGTCAACAGTCAGATGTCAGGAGCATGTAAATTGCCTAAAAGACAGGCCAGCTTGTGGGATTGCACAGTTTTTGGTGTGCATGCAAACATCATGTGCTAGGCCATGCTGATTTGTCTAATAGCACTGAATGACACAACCGTTTTCTCCCCTAAGAGCTCATCTGCACACTATATGCCTTCTTTCATTCAGCAGAATCATTGCACACATCATGGATTTGCATTTGGTGGCAGTTTACAAGTTGTTTGCATTTAATTTTTGGATAAGCAGTATTAAAAGTTTCAAGACCAGTTGTGTTAATATGAAACTAATTATTTTCACTTTTTGTTTTCTCTTTTTGTAAACTCTGATGCAGCATTATGTTGACTTGTGTTCTGTCTCTGCTTTGGCTCAGTTCCCGTATCTTTCCGTTTAAAGTTATCTGTATTTCCTTTGCTTACCCAGCCCGTTTTCCTTTCCAAAAAAGGCAAATACAAGGAAAGCTACCTAAAGTCTGCTTTGGTTTTTTGGGGGTTTTTTTTTTCTGTTGTTGTTGTTTTTTAGTTTTGTTTTATAATTTTTTTGTTTGGGTTTTTTTTGTGTTTTGGTTTTTTTATGTGTTTACTTATGGGGAGTCTTGTTACACCCATGCTTGATTTGAGCAGAACCTTCTGTGTTGAGTCATTATTTGTGCTGTTTGTTTGTCCGGTTTGTTGGAAATGTTTGCAGGACAGCTTGCCCTGTCCTGCATGATGTTCACTGTGCTGTTCGTAATATGAAATACAGTTCGTGTTACACCCTGTTTCCACTTTCCAGTTTCTAAATGATAAATGTAATATGCAAACAACTCTGTTTGCAAATTACTGAGGCTGAATTTAATGGCCTTCTCCCAGAATCCTTTACTGTGAACACCTTTTACCTTCAGTTGTATCTATAAACTGGCATTTTATAGCTTATGAGGCCAGAGATCTTCTGTGCTCTACACATACCATTGGGAAAAATGGATGGCACAAGGAATGGTGAGCTCAATTTCCCATCTGAATCTGGGCAATATACTCCAGCTCTTTTAGAAAAGTAAATGCCCCTGAGTTATTGGTGTATTTTTTCGTAACATAATAATGCTTCCTCCTTTATTTCAAGTCTTCTTGATTTCTCTTAGTGTTCTGCAGTTGTTGCTTTGTTTAAGCAGCAATAAAATAGGTTAACAAACTGCTGTCCATTGGGTCAACTCAGGCAGTCTTCATAGGTATTTGCCAGGAATTATCAGCAATTGTATTTCCTCGACTACTATTGCATGTAGGAGCAGGAATTTTTATCCCAGCATTTAACTTCTATGGGGTTTACTTGAAACTTCCAACTCCAGCTGCTCAAGTTGGAAGGGATGATCTTAGTGTTACATGACACTGACAGTGCCCATTGGGTATCTTTGTCTGACATAGAAGTGAAGGAATCTCTTGATCCTTGAGCAAGTACCGGGCTAACTCTGTGATTCTCCTTCCTTTGTGTCATTGCACAGACATCTTCTCGATTGTTGGTGCGGCCCACCAGCTCTGAGACACCCAGTGCTGCAGAACTCGTCAGTGCAATTGAAGAGCTTGTCAAAAGTAAAATGGTGAGACTGACCAGAAGGTGCATGTGACTAAAGAAGTTGTGTCTTCAAGTCCCAGCCTGCTATTCAAAGAAAACCTGCAAAATTCGCTGTCTTATTTCAAAAGTCACTTTCTGGGTTGATGAACAGAATAATTTTGTGCACACTCTTTTGTAAAAGCATTTATTGAATAGGTAGATGGCTATGTAAAGGAGGAAAAAGCAATAAATAAGAGAGAGAGAGAGACATGATGGTAGAAAATTTACTAAGTATGTCCTGTTAGTAGAAAGAAAATGTCCTGTTAGTAGGATTAATGCAAAGACCCAGGGTCTTGGACTAGTAGACCTTTGTGAGAAGAATCCCTGAAATTAAGTTTATTGCGAATCTTACAGGGCTCAGCAGTAAAGCAGGAAACTCTAACAGCAGAAACATTTTTGTTATCTAGTTGCTCTTTAGGCAACGATAATGAAGAAATAAGTAAAAGACTAAAGGGATCATTTTGCATGTTAGTGCCTTCATCCTTGTTAACAAATTAAGTAGGAGGAATCTGTGTCAGCTTTTTTAAGGTTTCTGTGTTTTAAATTTTCCATGTTTCTGAAGATCGTCACTGACATATTTTAAAGTTTTCATGTTTCTGAAGATTCACATTATGTGCATAATTCCAGGAAGGCCCTTTGTAATCAAAATCCAGTTTGACCCAGTCTGGGAAAAACTTCTCCAGCTGACCCTGTTTGAGATTGGACTATATGGTCTCAAGAGCTTTTTACAGCTTTTGCAGCATAGCCTCTCTTAGGCTCAATAGGAAGTACCTTTGTGAAAACTACAAAGAATTGCAGCATGGCAGCCCCATGTTATCAGAGGCTGATATTTCCCAGGTTCATTCTAAATTGAAGCAGCTTTGACTTTCAGAGCTAGAAATTTTATGGTTCTCTCATTCAGAGAAAATTACATTATTGCACAAAATAATTACTATTCTCTCTTGGGTATTAACTTTTCTTTCTACTTCTCTTATACCAGAAGGGTGAATACAAAGTAATCTATGGGAAAATTCAACAGTCTTTTGTAAACAGAAAGTTTGGTAGTCCACACGTCTTTCAGGCTGCCTAGCAGTGAATATAACTTAATGATCCATGCATATGGGAGATGTTCTCATTTCATAGCTTGAGCTTCCCCTGGGTTTTGGGCAAGTCATACCATTATTGGTTTTTACTTTTTGCAGGGAAAGAAAAAAGATTATAGCTGAACCTCACCCCAGTGGAAGTAGATGTGTCTTGCAATAAGGCTGTATCACATGCAAGGAAAATGTGATATATATCTGTAGCTTGATCCAAGATTATGGGCTTGAATTAAAGAAATACAATGATTATTTCTTAGATTATATCCTGTTGCTTCTTCAACTTTTATACAAACAGAAGCCTGTGGAGTCCATGTAAAGAAGACAGTGTATGTGGGTGAGGATACAGGGACTCTTTCTAGGATCTGAACAGGCTGAAAAACAACATTGGCAGTGTAGAAGTCATTATTTTCTTAACTGAGACACTATTTTGGCTAGTTATTAAGATAGGCAAAACGTCTGACAGAGAACACCACTTCTCTTGAGTTAAAAATGTGACATCATAAAAATCTCCTTTAAAGATGTCCTATTTATTGTTGAAAGTAACTTGTATATGCCAGAAGTTGAATATGACAAATATAATTTAATCCCCAGCAATGAGGACACATTTGTGTCGCTCCCACCATAGAAGTACTTGCATCATGAGAAGGAGACTCTGACTTTTATCCATTGCTGCTCAAAGCAGTTCAACTCCTTTATTTTCCTGTGGAGAGAAGACTGTCATCTCAAATGTGCTTCTTAAATGTGCTTCAAAGGCTCAGTTATCATGGAAAGCCATGTTGTTGCCTGATTTCCTGGAGGCTTATGACTTGCTTTGCCAAGATACATTAAAGTAATTGATCTCCCATAGATTGCTATATAAAGTGGCTTGCAACGTGTCTTCTGAATAAAGGAGAAATAAATCATTGTTGCTGACTGTCTTGAATACCTCCTCAGGCTCTGGAGGACCGTCCAAGTTCCTTGTTGGTAGATCAAGGTGACAGCAGCAGTCCATCCTTCAACCCTTCAGATAACTCCCTTCTATCCTCCTCATCACCCATAGATGAGATGGAGGAAAGGAAATCCAGCTCCTTAAAAAGACGACAGTAAGACCTATTTATTTATTTATTCATTCATTCATTCATTCATTCATTTATAAAAATGCTTATTTTGAACTGGCAGCAGAAGCTGTTAGTTTGAAAGTGGGAGGACTTGTATTAAATGTCAAGGATGTGGTCACATTTCTCTGTGACATTCAATCTGTGATTTTTAATTCTAGTCATACCTGTGTTTGCATGTCACTCTCATTTATTTGGGAAGATGCTGATCTTTAAATGTCCAAAAGTCTATTAAGCTTTAAAAAAATGGTCATTCCCCTCTTTGTATTCCAACCCATGTTTAATTTCTCTACGTGGTAGTAAGCTGTTACTATGGTAGAATAAAAACATGCCTGGTTTCAGATTTTTTAAACTTGTGTATAGAAATAACCATCTGTATAGCTAAGAGTCTCCAGACCAGAGACATAATAGCATTTTATTTTAAACAATAGTTAAATGTTTCATTTTAATGTCACATTTAAGAAAACATCTGACTTTAGATAAACAGAAGCAAGTCTTGTCCAGTTTTAACGTCAAAGCAGTATCTTTCTAAGAACCAATGTACATTAATTCTTCCATTTCAGTTCTGTCTGTCAAAGATATGTGACTGCATATGTTGAAAAAGTTGTATGTATGCCATTAATCATCTTGAAAAATCTGTTTCATTCTTTAATATTTGTTCACCTGTTTCCTTCCACTGTAGCTATGTCTTACAGGAATTAGTGGAAACAGAGCGAGATTATGTGCGAGATCTGGGCTATGTAGTTGAGGTATGATGGTTTTAATTCTCTTGATCTCTTATTTTAAAATGTGTTACTAACCAGCTATGCAGCTTGAACCTCACTTTTGTTTTTCAAACAAAGGAAGAGACTAAAAATGTGGAAGTTTACATGCTGAGTTTTCCCTCCTGTAGGTTTTAATGTATTAAAATACAAAATCAGGTTTCATTCCTTTTTTCCTGTTACTGTGTTCACCTTATTGTTTTTTTGAAGAGAGTAGTTCTTTTGCCTTTTTTTTTAAATCGCTACCTCTGGCCTAATGTTATCCTAGTAGATAGTGGGTTTATTTAGCACATCTCAATTAAAAAAAATACCATAAAAAAGAAAGCATTGTACCTCAGCATACAGAGCAGCTACCCAAGATTTGAAAGTCCTCCTTCCTCTCCTACCACTAGGCTTCTCTTAGACTTCCTAGCTTTCCCTGCTGTAAAATGAGATAACATCACATATCTCCCCTCAGTCTTCAGCTACCAACAAAATGCATTTAGAAAAGTAGAAAGGGATGAGCATGACAGTGAATTTTAGCCTAATAAAGTTTAATTCTTAAACTCTATTTTGAAGGTGGGGGGGAAAGAAAGATCAGCATTATGATAGTGTTTTTACGATATTTAAAGTGTGCATTAGGAGTCTGTGAATAGATGTATTTTTGTAAATAACAACATAATTTCTGGTGAAAATGCTGGACATCAAAATATATACTTGGAAAACCAAAAGCAGATCTGGCTATTTAGGAATAGAACTATTGGCTGGAAAAAAGGAGTAGAGTTGCATAAATATTAGAAAATATAAAAACACTCCCAGTCTAACTATATGGTAGAATTGCTTAGTGAGACAGCTGTGTAGAAACCAAAAATAAGATGGGATTATGGGAAAATGTCAGAGGAGCTTTATTGCAGCGAGAATGCTTGCTAACAGAATTGTTTTCTATCTTTTTTGTGTTTGGTTTGCTCATACTGCACAGTCCCATGGGCAGTTTCCTCCTCTGTGCACCTTGGTGTGGTGTTACTGTGAATGAAGTAAGAGACACAGAGCAGAGCAGCACAGAAGCCACTTCAGTGGCTCTGACATTTTCTCAGCCCCACTTGGCCAGGCCTTGCAGCTCCAGGCAGTAAGGAGTGGGGCTGAGGAAGTTTCCATCATGCTTTGAGCCCATGCACACAAGCTAAATTAGACAGAGTGAATTAATTTTTCTAGTGCTGTTGTGTAGACAGCCTCACCTCAATCTCTGATACTTTGTGTCTGTGCTTTATGTTATGCTGTGTTATAGAACAGTTTTCAGGTTTGGCTTTGTGTCCCAAGCAAGTTGTTGCCATTGGACCACTTCAGGGACAAGGGGGCTTAAAAGACAACTTGCTTTTTCTTAAGTAAGAATATTCACAGTGAATTCACTTGGACTGTTGCAGGGTTATATGGCACTTATGAAGGAAGATGGTGTACCTGATGATATGAAAGGCAAAGACAAGATTGTATTTGGAAACATTCACCAGATTTATGACTGGCACAGAGAGTACGTATTGTACTTAAAAAAATATTAGACTGACTTTAGGAATTATTTCCTCTGATATTCAGACACAAGGTAAATGCAGTTGGTTTTGTGGTTTTGTGCTTTGACTTGTAGAAAATGTAACTTCAGCCTACAAAAGATGGTGTGAAGATTTGCTTTAAAGAAGAATGCGTGTGTGTATATATATATATATATATATAGCAAGTACTTTAGCTGAGGATCTCTAACATTGATAGAACTTTGTACATTGCTTTCTCTCTAACAATACAGTCTAAAGAATTTCTTAGGGGTGGTTAGCATCTGAAACATTTAAACTAGGAAGGGGAAAATTTTCAATCAATATATGTGAAATCTAGTAATTTTGCTAGTGAATGCCAGGGTTTTTCTTCATCTTGGCATGGATTCAGCATATCCTTTTAAAAAAATATATTGAAGTGTTACACTGTTAACGTTGTCATTTTGGACATCATTAACATCTAAAGCTGCTGATAGGAGACACAAAGTATCTTGCCTTGCAGTAAGAACAATTTGCCTTGCAATTACCTGTTGCTGTAATGTGTGCTGTCAGAATAAAAAGAACTGTTTATTGTGTTTATGTTTAGCTTCTTTTTAGGAGAGTTGGAGAAGTGCCTTGAAGATCCAGAAAAGCTGGGATCCCTGTTTGTTAAACATGTAAGTGCAAATGTCTTTGTTGGCAAGCTCTATTGCTGCTACTGACCAACATGTTTGTATATTAAAGTACAACACAGGTAACAGAGTGCTGTACAATGTTCTTCGCCTGTAAGAGGTGGAGAGATTGCTTTTAAGATCTTATAAATAGAAGAAGTAAATGCTCTAGTCTTTGTCCCCAGTACCTTCCTGTGGAGAGGGAACATGAATGTGAGCCCCATTTCTCTGTTCAGTTACACTTCAGTGCAAGGGAATCATCATTTCATATGATACCTGCCTTCTAATCCCAGGTATCCATGCAATAGCATGGAATATAAGAAATACAAATAGGAAAGAGGCTCATTCTTCTTCCAGTTTGAGCGTGTTCTAGTTTTGTATCCTTTCCCCTTCTGAGAATTTGTCACTGGCAAAGTGGGAAACCTGTAGGAAGTAGCTCTCTCTGTTTCTGATTGTTGTTTTACTGTCTCCTGGTATTATTTGTAATTAAGTTGTCTTTGAAAGGCACCTTTACCACTCCAGATGGAAAGGCAAGCTGTGATGCTATTACAGCATCCTCTAGCAAAACCCTATCAGCTAGAACACAATGATTCAGTTCCTGTTCTTAATCTGTGTCCTGTGTCCTTTCCAATCTCCATCTTATTTTTTCATTTCTTTCTTACCATTTATCTTTACTGGTCAGTACTCTGTAAGTCTCTGGGAAGCAAAGCCCCTAAGTGCAAACAAATCCTAGCAAAGTGATAGGAAAGATTTTTGAGTAGGTGTGTCTGTACTTCTTGACCAGCAATGTCAGTAATCAAGAATAAATGTTAAAGGCAGAAGTTACTTCCTCTCTCTTTTTCTGTTGCTTTGGTGTTAAAAGCACATGCCACAAGATAAAAAATCAGAGTTAAAAAATGCTAATGCCTCCATTTCCAGGCTTTATCACCTACATCCCCACCCAAACTGCAGTAGGACAGCCAATACTAAATAAAAGACATGAAAGTTTTCCCCTAACTATTCTGTACATGTAAACAGGAGGAGGTAACAATAATCATCATCATCAGATTATTAAAATAGAATAAAAAATACTATACTTCAAAGGCTTCATTACAGAATCATGGAATGGTCAAGGTTGGAAGGGATCACTGTGGGGTCATCTTGTCAAACCTTCCATGGCTCTTGGTAAAAGCAAAATATAACCATTTCCATGCTTAACTTTATTGTGGGGACCTGCTGAGCATCTCTGAACATCTGTCATTCAGAAGGATTTATAGCTGTGGGAATTTTTTTCACTTGTGTTGTCTTTCTAAATCATAATTATGTTCCCAAAGAAATTGTTTTCAGATCTGTAATTTCTGTATATGTAACTGCTTTTTTTTCCCTAAAGGGGTCTTTTTTAGTTCATACACTGGAACTGCTGTACTTCTTAAAATAATACTCAATTTCAATCTGGCATGTTTTTTTTCTTGATAATGATGGATCGTTCTGTATCTTTGTTCCTCTAGGAGAGAAGGTTGCACATGTACATAGTTTACTGCCAAAACAAACCAAAGTCTGAGCACATTGTCTCAGAATACATTGATACATTTTTTGAGGTAAGTTTGTGAGATATGTGAGGCTAAGTATTATCAAATCTGTTGATCAAACCAGAAAAAAAGCCAAAAAATATGCAGCACATACTGTTGTTAATGTTTTAAATTACAATTTCTTCAACACATTTCTGTTCTGATTTCTCAAATCTGATACAGATTCCTGGTGATGAAAGCTAAAGGTTAGGCATAAGATATTAATTAACCAGTAGAGTCTTACCCTTACTAGCCTTACGCCAGGCTAAGTTACCAGTGCATTTTATATAGAATGACAGTTCTGGATAAACAGAGACCACTGCTGGAAATAGGCTGTATAGAACCTGTGACTGAAAAAATGCATTTCACTCTAAAGCCTTGTCAAGAAAGAGATGAAAGATGCTTGCAGAAGGGAATACCTTGGGAGGAAGGGTAATAAGGGGACGGACTACCGTTTTTGCTAACTAAGATTAGATTATTTTTTTGACTTTTGCCACTTTCTGGTGTGATGACAATTAATACTGATATATCCTTGTTTATATATATATTTATCTCTATATACTGATATGTATACTGTGTTTCTAACTCAAAACAAAGATCTTTCTAACTGAACAAACAAAAATGTTTGTGTCACAACTCTCAGGATCTAAAGCAGCGCCTGGGCCACAGACTTCAGCTCACGGACTTGCTAATAAAACCTGTTCAGCGAATTATGAAATACCAGCTGTTACTGAAGGTAAAGTGATGTTGAGATGAATGAGTTATGTTAATAGATATGTTATAGATGTGTTAACAGATAGGTTTTCTTTTTTAATTAATGCTGTTGTTTTTCCACCCCTTTCCCTTACAGAACCCAGATTTGTAAGCAATGCCATATGATTATTTTCTGAGCACATTCAGATAGTTATAAAAATTACAGAAGATGGCTTGGGCAGAGATTTGCTTTTTCTTTTAGTAGCTAAAGACCAAATGTTTAGAATAGAAATGTTTAAAATTTGTGCCATAGAAATGGGAGAAGGAATTCCCAACTGTTTTCAGATGTAAACATGATAGAAGTTGTTGGGACTCATCACAGCTTCTCCAGCTACACCTGTGATCATTTTAATATCACCTAAGTGTTTACTGAAGAGCAACCCTGTATAGCACAGAGGTCATTGCCTTAGCATATGTTTTGTTTGTATGAGCTAAATTCAAATGGTTGTCTTCTGCAGTCTATCATAGTCTGATGAAGGTTATCAAATTCACATTTTCTAAGATTTTTCATTGATTATTAATGAGAAAATAAATATTACTTGATTTTTTTCTTTTTCAGGACTTCCTCAAGTATTCTAAAAAAGCTAATCTTGACACAACAGAACTAGAGGTACTTAAGAGATTTTCTCTTAGTGATACGAATTCTTTTAACTCTGAACTTTTCTTGTTTTGGCAGAGTCACTTTCCTTTTCTGATCTTCCTGAGAAAGTGATTATAAGAGTTTACTTCTTGCATTTCTGTTCTAAAGCAACCATATAAAATGAAACAAAATTTTATGCTGCTAACTCATTTGGAAAATAAAGTTTTGACTTTTTATTTGTCTTGAACAGAAAGCTGTAGAGGTCATGTGTATAGTACCAAAACGGTGTAATGACATGATGAATGTTGGCCGCCTGCAAGGATTTGATGTAAGTTGGCTGGAGTTTTGCTTAGAGATTTTGTCACGTTCTCTAGAAATTAACCATTAATAATGTGGGGAGAAATGTGTACAGTGTTTGTTCACTATCTGGTTAGCTGGTGCAAAAAGCAGTAAATGAAAAATCAAGTCTTAGCCCTGCCAAGGACTTTTTCCTGGGAAACAATACCTGCTCTGTCAGTCAAACTAGGTAAACTCTTCTGCAAAATCAAGAAAGGGCTATTCTTCCTACTCTTCTCTTGTTGGCTAAAGGCTTGCAAAATAGTGAAATAATCAGTTTATCAGCAGGTGAGCAGACCTGACTTGAGTAGTGTAGACAAAGGAGGAGTCACTAAGGTCAATCGTGTACTTGAGGCAACTGTAGCCTTTCTTGACTTGCTAAGTCTAGAAGAGATGGAAATTGGCTACTGAAGCAGGATGCAACAGTCAGGCCAGAGTCATACGTTCTACTTGCAAAGCTCTTTGTATTCTGTGATGCAGACATGAACCTGAATTCTACCGCTACTCAGCACCCTGGGAGAATATATGAGTAACTGTTGGAATTATTCAGAATAGAGGAATGAAAACCTTAGTGTTCCAAGCCTCAAAGTGCAGTATGAATTGAAAAGGGTGGAGTGGATTTTTGGGGCTTGGTCTGGCTTGTTTTGTTTTGGGGGGTTTTTTTGGGTTTTTTTTGTTTGTTTCTTTCTTGGTTTGTTTGGTTTTTTTATGACTTTTTGTTGGTTTGGTTTGGTTTGGTTTTTGCTTGGTTTGGTTGGTTGGTTGGTTGGTTGGGTTTTTTGTTTGTTTGTTGTTTCTTTGATTTTTTTTTTTTTGAGAAAGAGCACAAGAATATCTTATGTATAAGAGAAGAAGTGAATATATAATGGTCAATGACAGTTGGAAGGTGGGAAATACACAAACCTATTTGTCATGAATGTGTGCTCAAAAAGGTTGATTGGGGAAAGAAACAAAGAACTTCACTAAATGTGTTTTTTCTTGCTTCTGTATTTAGGGTAAAATTGTAGCCCAGGGTAAGCTCCTGCTCCAGGACACATTCTTGGTTACAGACCAGGATGCGGGACTTCTGCCACGCTGCAAGGAGAGACGGGTCTTCCTGTTTGAGCAGATTGTCATTTTCAGTGAGCTGCTAGATAAAAAGAAAGGTTTCTCCATGCCCGGATTCTTGTTTAAAAACAGTATCAAGGTAACTGTTGTGTGTGAGTCTTGTGTCTCCTGCAAAAACTCTGCTAAGGTAACAGTTTCTCATTCTGTGGTCAGTCACTAGTGACATCTAGATGTGCAATCATAGAGCGCAGTAAGGTACAAGTCATTTCCTGGAATCACTTCCTACCAAATTTGTTCTCACTCCGATGTTATGTGGAGATCTTTGGATCCCAGTACTCTGATGCTTCCTGCGTGAAGCATATCAAAGCAGGTGCTCTGGCACAAAGTGCTGGAGCAGTTATTCACAAAGTTTAGTTTTCAGCTCTGTGCTGTAAGTGTACCACATTGTAAGTAGAGATAAAAACTCTTTTTGTATCCTTTCCAATACCCAAATATGTAGATAACATTTGTGTGACCATAGATATGTCAGCTCTTCCTGAAATAAAAAAAGTGTTTCCCCACTTCAAGCTTTTCCTGAAAAGTCCTGATAATATTAGGGCTCAGCAGCCCTCATGAAGTGTTTTGGGTGGACCCTGCTTCCCCTAATTCACCTTGGTGCTCTGCCTGCCACCTGAACCTGCTCTTTATAGCTCTGGCTGAGCAGACCAGGTCCAAGGCATTGCTGTATGTGCAGCTGAAGCCTTTGGTCAGGGGCAGTGGTAGAAGGAGCTCCATAGCAGGCTGAGCATTTTAACTAATCTGTAAGGAAAGTGAGGGATGGAGAACATTGGGCCATGCTGACCTGCTGGAGATTGTTCAGACACAGTGTGTCAGTAAGCTGTGCACTAATTCTTAGTTTACTGGAATTAAGTAACTTCATTTTATGGTATTATTTTACTAAAGGAACGAGTGGTTATCATTTGAAGATCTGACTCTAAACTCCTAATAAAGAGATTTTAAAGGTATGTTTCCCATAAAATACACGTGATTTTTTTTCATGAAGGTGAGTTGCCTTTCCCTGGAGGAAAATGTGGACAGCGATCCATGTAAATTTGCACTAACATCAAGAACGGGTGATGTCACGGAGACCTTTGTTTTGCATTCTGCCAGTCCAGGAGTCCGCCAGTTATGGATCCATGAAATTAACCAAATTTTGGAAAACCAGCGCAACTTTTTAAATGGTAAATTATTTTCTTTTACTGAAAGTTTGTAATTGGATGACTTTTCTCTCATCTCTTTTCTCTTGGCTTTGAAATGTTTTGCAAGTTGCCTTTTTCCTGAGCTAATACAGAACAGTTGGGGGGATATGTGCCGCATTTCTGCTTCAGAACAGATGCTTGCATTTATTTAAGAGTGGTAGTCTGAATTTACATGGTGTTCTCTTGGTGAAATTTTCCAAATGTTTTGTAGGAGTGAATCAAGATAGGTGCCATCCGTTGAGAGCTTGTGTACCCCTTTTAAGCAACTGCAAGCCTTTAAAGGCTAAACCCAAGTGAAATTAGCATCTATTCAGAATATGGTTTGCTTCTATTATTTTGCTGGGCATTGTTGTCACATCTTACTGTAGCGACAACATTGAGATTCTGCAGGAGAAAAATAGAAGGTGGTGTTGTCTGCTGTGACGCTAGAAAGTTCTTTTTCTATTTTTATATCAAATCAGTTATTGTCCCAACCTAGATTTTTTTAAACAGTTGTAGTGTGTAACAACAAGCAGAGAATGTGGAGTCACACCTATTTTTCACAACTTGGCTGCTGACTGACAGTGTGATCCTAGAAGAAAACATTTCTTCTTAGTTTCAGATTTTAATCTTTAATATAGGTAGATACAGCAGGTCATGAAGGTTAGATACAGAAAAGTGACTTGAAGTCTGTGGCGCCTTTCCACTGCTAAGGAAATTTATTTGAACAGCACTCCCCTTTTTGCCGATAGACATGTCTGTTTTAAACTGTTCCTGTTCCCTTTCCTGCCCCCTTTCCCCTGACTGCCTCCCCCCTCGCCCCCACTGCAGCCTTGACGTCCCCGATCGAGTACCAGAGGAACCACAGCAGTGGTGGAGGCGGCGGCGGGAGCAGCAGCGGTAACAGCAGTGGCCCCAGCAGCTGTAGTGGCATCCCCAGCTCCAGCCGTAGCCGGCCATCCCGGATCCCCCAGCCTGTCAGACACCATTCCCCAGTCCTGGTCTCCTCTGCAGCCTCGGCCCAAGCAGAGGCAGACAAGATGTCAGGTATGTCCATTCACAATCACTCCCTGCCACACTACAACACCCCATTAGAAACTGGCCTGACACAGTCAGACAGGCACCCTCCCAGTGCAGAGCCGGATGGTCCTCAGAGAGAAGCTGAACAGATTCCCAAGATGAAAGTTATTGAAAGTCCCAGGAAGACAGCAGGAAACATTTCTGGCTCAGCTGATGGAGTCCAGAAAGACTCACGTGGAATCTCAGAGGACAGTCGAACAAGAAACAGCATAGGATCACTGACGCTTGGGAAGCCAAGGCCAGGAGCCATCTCTCCAATGAACTCTCCTCTGTCTACGACTTTCCCTTCTCCTTTTGGCAAGGAAACCTTTCCACCCAGCAGCCCCCTGCAGAAGGGCTCCTTTTGGAGCTCCATCCCAGCATCCCCTGCCAGCCGCCCTGGCTCCTTCACTTTCCCTGGGGACAGTGACTCCCTCCAGCGGCAGGTCCACCGCCACTCTTCACACAGCAAGGACACAGATCGCATGAGCACATGCTCCTCGACCAGCGAGCAGTCAGTTCACTCCACTCAGAGTAATGGGGTAAGAGCGGAGCACCTCTGTCCTGCGAGCTCTTCTAAAACTTTCCATGCTCCCCTTCTGTGCGTTGCCATAATTTTCCGTACTAACTTCTGGCTCTCCGGTGCTGTACTGCTCTGAAATAATCAACTGTTCCGATATATTCTGCACATTAAAAAACCAAGAGTGTCTACCTGTGTGTGTGTATACATGTGGAACATGGCTATGTATACAGACACAAAAGCAACTGCTAACATTAGATGCGATTTCTGCCTCTGCTGAAAATATAGATCACAGGGCTGATACCTACTAACTTGCTGTCCTTGCTTCTTTCGTCTCTAATTTGAAGGCACATAATTAACATGCTGAAGTGTGGCAGCCAGAGCACCTTGGGGTATGCATTGCATCAGCACTGAAATCTGACTTCAGGATTTTGGCAGATTGCCTTGGGCCTTTTTTCCTTTCCACGCACAAATTTGCCACCATTGTCCTGTTGAGTTTTAACTTCGTGGAGACATCTACGTTCCCTGGGCTGCTTGATTTTTATTTTTTTATTAATTTATTTTTTCCCACTCTCAGCCTTAGTTGTTGTACATCAATCTCTTTTTAAATCCTGTGTTTGATCAAGGAAGCTTTCTGCAATCCACTCAAAATAGGCCAACAAAACCTAGCAACAATAATCCTACTTCTACTACAACCAAAACAATTACCCGCTCTACTTGTCTTTTGTCCTTTGTAAGAAGAACCGGTTTTGGGTTTCTGGAGATTCAACCTCTTAGTGTGCACTTGGTGTGTGTGTGCAGAAATCTGGGCCATCAACAGAATCTACGTTCTCTCTAATACACCCACCAGGAAAGCAACAGCATTCATGGGGGCATGTGCAAATATAAAGCAAAAAATGTTGAGGCATTTGCCATGGATGTGGTAGGCAGGTTATGGTGCCTTTCCTTTTAAACTCATGTTTGATTTTTCTCTTCACTAAGCCTTGTGTTTATGAATGTTTGTTTTTCCACTCTCTCACAAATGATCTGCAATATGAGTTTTGCAAATCGCCTAACTGGCTGGACCTTTTTTAAATGCATGCATTTCTTTATAGAACTGTTTAACACACAAAGCTTTCTTGACTTCTCAGTTCTTATACTTACTTTTATAATAGCTTCAGAAGAGAAGAAATTATGCTTTGCATGTTTTGTATTTTCATCCTGATCTTCCATCAGCTTTTTACTTGGTTTAGCTCTGTCTTGTGTTTATCTTCAGTCTAGCAAAATGTGATGTGATGTAATGTAATGCAAAATCTGGGGAAATTTGAGTATTTTCCATTTACTGCATGGTATGTGAATGAAGATGGTGATACTGGGACAATAATAATTGAGGTTGTGACATTAAAAAAAGAGAAAGAGAAAGATGAGATGGCACTGAGTTTTCAAAACATTTGGATTTTGATACTATCTCAGCAAAGACACCGTTGCTTGTTTTTATCTCACTGTGAAACGTAATGTTGGAACGCATGCCGTCTGCATCACAGCTATATGTTCTCAGCTATATAACTCTTTTATTTGGTAACTGAAATCTGAAATGGGCCATAAGACCTCATTTATAACCTCATTTCTAGACCAAGCAGCAGGATTTCACACCACATGGAATAAGTTGGAGAAAATGGGTTGTGAAGGTTTATTTTAATATAACCATTTGTGTATTTATATTCACGTGCACATATGGCTGTGGTCGATTACTTAAGGAAAAATTACTTCTAAGAAGAAAAAGGAGTCAGTTTTGCTAGTTGAGAAATATGGGAGGAATTTGTTACATTTTGTTTGTCGATCCTTCTCTAATCCCATAGTTGAGGTCAGTGACAATCAGAAGTACTTTCAGTAAGAAAACATTACTGTGCAAGAATAATTACTTCCTTGGAAGGCAGAGGGAAAGGCTATCTTTCCATGGTGAGAATGAGTTCTGGTATAAACACATTCTCAAGAACATTTGTCACTTAGTAGTTACCAGACAGCTGTTTATTTAACAGATTTAACTGTCCTTGTTGAACATAAGAAATGTTCAGAGTTTATTATGATCCTTCAAGACTTAAATGTCAGAAAGAAATGTTATGTTATAGAAAGGTCAGTCTTGCAGTTACACAAATTCTGCTGCATACTAAGAGACAGTATGTTATGGAATAGTGTGTGGGGCAAGGTTTGAGGCTTAAGTTGATATTGCACCTTCCCTTCATCTTCCATTCTAAGTCTTAAAAGGAGTCAACAAAAGCTGCTTTTTCTGATAGAGTTGGTTTTCCTCTAGGTAAAAGAATGTAGCAAGTTGTCATCCTAATTTAAGTGATTATTGAAAATGAGACTTAATTTCTTTGGTTCAGCTGTTCCCAATTTGTCTGAATCATAGAAAGGACTTATTAATACAAAAGGCCATGCAGGCCATCCTCTAAACACAAAAAAAAAAAAAAAAAAAAGTTCTCCCACTGGAAATACAGCATCTGAAATTAATGTCCTTTAGTGGAGTAACAATCCACAATGAGATCTTTCTCCCTGAGTAGCATATGCTTCATCATTTTAATATGGCAAAAAGAAGATTTGAGTCATTCAGTTGAATATAACAGTCCAGCTAGAATAAAATGTACAGTCACTGGCACTTCAACCATCAGGGTGTTAAACATGCTATGAATTAGTACTCTGAGACAGTTCCATTCCAAATGTCTTAGTTTCTCAGCCAGAGTCTTCAGAGAAGCACAGGCACAGAGAGATGGAATGACTAGTTCAAGGCCTTTAGCAGATTGCAAGAGAACGCAGTGTTCTGGGCTCCCAATGCACCATGCTGTCAACTGACCCCCACTGCATCTCTTCAATATTTGAGAAATAATTGACAGTTTTGAGAGAAAAAAAAAGATGTTTTAATCCTGTGTTCCAAGCTTTCCACTGGCTGCTAGCATATGAGTGGTACTAATGTAGTTCTGCTCTATAAGCAATAGGACTACCAGGACATGGGTACTCATTTCCTCCTTCAGCTCAGCTTCTACCAAGGCACAGTGAGCTGAACTCCTTGGCACTGAGTGACCTGAAACAGTTTGAAGTAAGAACAGAGACAAAAGACAGGCACACACACACTTCATGCCACATCATTAATAGGCCATTCACTTTGTTTTTAACTTGTTTCATGAAAGGAATAATTACTGAGGGAGTAGGTTGTGTAATCTGATAATAGATTTTACACTTCTATTCATTAAACCTCATATAAGGAACAGATGCAAATGGACACAGTAAGTCTTACTTTTGAAAAATAATGATTTCCATTAGGTTCGTGGTCAGGAGAAGGCATTTTGTTCAGAAAGTAATATGATTTTGAATGTGCACCTTCTCAGCTATCATTAGCTTTCCACAAATGCTTGCTGGGGAAATGAGCAAGATCATGAACAGTAGTTGAGAGTGTATGAGGAACAGGGAGCAACGCTCATCTATCTTAGTCACTAATCAATTAGAAGGGATTCTTACAGTTTAGTGGGTGTATTTTGACTGTCAAATTAATAATTTCTTATTTCAGTAATTTACTTCATCCTCTGCATTTAAAGAAATAATCCTGATCATAAAGATGCAACCAGAGAGAAGTCTTGTCGTTTTGGGAGATGCTGTCAAAACCCTGTTTTGTTCTTTTGTAGCTTGTCATGTTTTCTATGCAGAAGGCCAGTGTCTGAGATCTGACAGGTAGTGCTAGGAAAGACTACATGTATTTTTCATTGTCTGAGTTTCCAGTGATTATGAGTTAATGGCTATGATTTTGCAACTGAACTTCCAAGACCGTGAAAAGGTGTGCTTATACTGTAGTTTTGATGCCTGATGAAGATGCAAGGCTCAGTGTCTGAGCTTGAAAGGAAGACAAGTTCAAATTTATTAATAAACTGACTCCTAGTTAAAGGAAATTATATTGAGTGACAGTATTGGGAATAAATTTGTGCAGCAGCAGTACATGAAGATGTTCAAATATCAGACTAATTCACAAGATAAACAGACACAAGCAGCTTTAAACAAGAAAACATTGCTCTTTTCTTTGAGTACAATTTAAGCCAAGTGGATTAGGAAGGTAATGTAGAACTCTTTTCTTAATGAGTTTTAAACTTTATTCTCTTTTTTTCCCCCTGCTCTCTGCTTATGATGGACGCTTGCAGAGTGAAAGTAGCAGCAGTAGCAATATCTCCACCATGCTGGTGACACACGATTACACGGCAGTGAAGGAGGATGAGATAAATGTCTACCAAGGAGAGGTCGTGCAGATTCTAGCCAGCAACCAACAGAACATGTTTTTGGTGTTCAGAGCCGCCACCGATCAGTGCCCCGCAGCCGAGGGCTGGATTCCCGGCTATGTCTTAGGGCATACCAGTGCAATCATCATTGACAACCCTGATGGAACCATCAAGTGAGTACCTGGTGTGCATAGAAGGGGAAGAAGGAAGGAAGGAAACTTCCAATATAGAGAAGGCTTTGAACCTTCAAGGCCAAAAGTTGATGTGATCATGGAGAAATAAATGAACAATAAGCCGAAGGAGTACTGGAGACCTCCCTTAGCAAATGTCAAATATACAAGCTAGTAAGAAAGATCCCAGAAGCACATACTATTTAATAAAAAGTTACAGTAACTTAATCTTCTGGGAAAATAATGCCTTATCTAAGAGCAGAAATAATTTCCTTTAACTTTTTTACTTAATAGAATGAGTTACCAGTCTAGACACCTTTGTCTACGAAAACAGGGAACATTTCTTGAAATAAAAGATTTCAGAGTTCCTAGACATCTGTTTTAAGCCACAAACCTACTAAAAATTGCAGTATGCTAGGAACAACTCTCTCATATCTGCAATGGAAGAAATTATATCAAAGTTTGAATTTTGTGTAAAGCATTTGTAAGACTGCATTTGGTATGGGTTTCATACCAGGTGTTGTGTAGTTTGATTGACAGTTCACATTTTCATATAGAAAGTTTACCATTTGTGCAGTGACTTCAAGGAATACTGAACTTCAGACTACATTACTAGCTTGTTCAAAGTTCAAGGGTGGCATCCCTTATGGAATACTTAATGTATTTTTTTTTACTACATTGTAATACATAGAAATAACATTTTGGCATACTTTTCCAATGCCACATGAAACTAGATAGTATAGGGCATAACAGGGAGTTGAAAAGAATTGATCAGAGTTTCATGTTCTGTGTTCAGGAAGTCAACGTCTTGGCACACAGCACTCCGATTAAGGAAGAAATCTGAGAAAAAAGATAAAGACGGCAAAAGGGAAGGCAAGCTAGAAAATGGTTATCGTAAATCCCGAGAAGGACTTGCCAACAAGGTTTCTGTAAAAGTAAGTGTTCAAAGACGTAGTTTCCAAAAGAACTTGGTTTGGGATTTCTTCAGAAGTAGCTTCTGTCAAAACTTCACAGAAAGGAATCAAAGGCAGCAGTGACCTTAGTGGACAGTTTTGGCCAAATTTGAAAGCAGGAAGTTATAACCTTCAAACCTGAAAGCATCATACAAAAAAAAAAAGATACTGCAAAAAGAGTAAAGTGCTGCAGAAATTGTGGTATTCAGATGTTTCTAGGATTTTCTGGGTATGGCTAGCTTTGCCATATCTCTGTGCTTGGTTTTCTACCATTCTAAGTTATTATAAAACTATCAGGACATTAATTGTTTAATTTCTTCTTTCCAGCTTCTCAACCCCAATTACATTTATGATGGTAAGTTGCTTTAATTTTTAAAAGTTTCAGTCAATAAATTTGATTAAAACATTATTTGCTAGTTATGAATTATGTCAAGAACTGAGTGCTTTCTACAAATATATATATATATACACATACAGGCTCTTTCTAGATAAGGCAGAATGAAATACATCATATTTCTTTTTTAAGATGCAAGAAACACTTTTTTGTTCACAAGTCCAAATCAACATAAAACACAATGACCATATGATGTGTTCTGTATGGAAGTGGGGCCTTGCTGAAATTGCAAAGTAACAAGGCCAGGAGTTGGAGCTGCTTTATTTTTAATGTTGCACCCTAGGGAACATTCAGGACCTCACCAGTACAGAGGCAGATCAGGGCAAAGATAGTGGCCCACTGGGGTCGGAGCCAAACTGAGATTTTAGCTTAATAGACAGAAACAAACTTTTTGAGTTTCACTTGTAGAAAAGGGAAAGCACTACAGTGCTTCAGTGGATAAAGTGTTTGTGTTCTCTTTTGCAAAATTGGCTGGATATAAAGATAGCCTAGCTGAGCACTTCCTAGATACTTGTCAGTGGAGACTTTCCTCACTTCCATAAACTGGGTGTTTAGTTCACCATGGTAGGCTTCAGGGTTATCTGTGGCACAGCAGTAGTGTTCTCTCCAAGTTCACGTAGAGAAAAATTCACTAGCTCTGTAGAGCCCCAGCAAGGGGCCTAATCATGGATGTGCTCCAAGGGCAGGGGATATATACACTTTGGGAATCTGAAGTACTACTTCGTCTAATAGAAAAAAGTGCAAGGAATAGAAGAAATTAAATGTATTTGCTTCAGTTTACCTAATGCCATTATTCTCTTTCTCCAGTTCCCCCAGAGTTTATAATTCCATTGAGTGAGGTAACATGTGAGACAGGAGAGACCATCGTGCTTAGGTGTAAAGTCTGTGGTCGCCCCAAGGCTTCAGTTACTTGGAAAGGTCCTGATCATAACACACTGAGCAATGACGGTCATCACAGCATTTCGTACAGGTAATTTGTGTCACATTCAACAGGAACTCCTGAAACTGGTTTTTTAATTTTTCATTTGCACCCCTGGTGCAGGACAGGGTTTGGCTTTGAGGCATGAGGATAGGGTTGCTCTGAGACAGAAATATGTCACCACTGAGATTTTCCAGAAATGTTCCGTAACTTCTTTATATGGCCAGGGTAACAAAATGTTACAATCAGTTTTTAAAAACAAAATAAAATTAATGTGCTCTTTCTGATTAGCTATTGCAAAAGCCATTGTGGTTGTCACAATGACCTTGTCCTTGAAACAGACCAGCGTGTTGTGACATGCCAGCACTGTGACAGATCCTGCTAGTCCCTTATTTCTGTTAGTGGCTTTCAGATCACACTACAGTGTTTTGCAAAGAAGCCTGTGCTTCCTACTGATGTAACAACATCACTCTTCATTGCTGAAGCGTGGATATTAACACTTTTGTCTGGTTTTAGCTTTGTTGTGATAGAACATAACAGGTAACTCAAACACCAGGAGAAATTGTTATTTTGGAATGGGAAACTGCAGGTTAAATTTTTTTTTTTTCTGAAAAAGCACCTTTTATATACAGGAAATGTAGTTTAATGACTTCAGTGTGAAGAAATGTCTTATTTATGAATTATACTCTTAATTCAGAATGAAGGGCTCTTTTGTGGTATTTTATACTGTTCTTTACTTCCTGCTGCTCCTGCTTTTTCTTTTCATTGGATTTTTTGTTTGTTTTTAATGGGAAGACAAAGGCAGTGTGGCAGCTTTACTACTGCATCCAGGGCTGTTCTGAGATGTGCAAGAGTTAAATTTTCTAGATTTAATTAATTGTTGCTCATTACAGAATTATATCCAGTAAATAATGTTGGCTGTGGCTGACAGATTTTTAGAAATAATCCTGAAATTTTCTTTGAGCTGGGGAAAGCTGTCATCTTCCTATGTTCCTAAAATTTACCTTCTTTTTTCTCCCTGAAACTGTGTGGTGAAGACCATTGCAAATAGGTTTTGGGTTAGTCAGTAAAATGACTTGTAGCAGCTGAGATGAATCCAAAGGAAAGCAATAAGTATGACAGAAGATCTTGAAAATACACACTATTGTGAAAAAACAACACAATGTTAGGATTGGATTGAGCCTAGAGGTGAAAAGTGTAGGGAAGACTTGCCAAGTATTCACATTTGTGAGAGACTTACAAATTAAATATGCTGTTGTTCATGTCCATGGCAGATAGTCAAAATAGAGCTACAAATTTATTTCACAGAGGAAAATTTAAGCAGGCATTTAAAGACAAAGCACCAAACAAAAAGGGTGAACAGTGAGAAAGATTAAGGAAGAGCCTGCAGAGTCTTTCTGTTCAGGTATTACCTAGCTTAATGCTGTCGCTGCCCTGGAGCAGAGAGTAAACTTAAGTCCTTTCTAGTTTCTTCCATCATCATTCTCTCAGATTCTGAGGTCTCCAGCATTGTGATGAAGTGTGCCTTTTGTGTTGAAGAGCAAGCCCTCTCTTATAAGGGGTGAATGCTCTGAAAGCACAAATGATTGATGAACTGACACTTCCTGGGAGTCATGGATGGAAACAAACCTTTTATCTTTCAGAACTTTTCTGAAAAACTTTTCATCTTTCAGAAAGAACAGGGATGGAGATTTGTCCTAATATGGCTTCCAAAAACTTGAATAGGTAAAGGAAGCCAGAAGAAACAGGGAAAGCACTTGATTTTTCTAACAGCAGAGCCTGAGACATGGTGAGACAGAGTATCAGTCAGGATGTTTTTCTAGTAATCTATAGGATTTTCCAAGATACTGGATGAATACAAAGTGGTCAGGTTCTGGTGGACATTTCTGATATGGCAGGGCAGGGTTAGTAATGTTCATCCAGAGAGAGATCGGGGCTGGAGAATAGGAAGCATAAACAATATCAACCTAACTTTGCATGATTTTCATAGCTTAAGGTCTGTGAAGTTACTGTAAAGTTAACAGCCGCCGTTGTGTTTTGCAGTGACCTGGGAGAGGCGTCGCTGAAAATCGTTGGCGTCACTGCGGAAGACGATGGTATCTACACGTGCATAGCTGCAAACGACATGGGTTCGGTTTCATCCTCCACCAGTCTACGAGTTTTAGGTAGGCCTGTCCCTTCCTTCTTCTAGAGCCTAGTTACAGTCAAAGTACCCATACAACAGTAAAAAGAAAAGCTCAGCTCCTGGGCACCCCTTTGGTAAAGGAGTACTGATAGCAAGCCTTTTACCTGTAATATATTGCCTGTTTTAGCAGGAATAGATGCAGTTTTAGGATGTAACTGATTAGAGGTTCATACACACATATTCCACAGTACTGTCAACATGCATTCACTTTGCCAGTACTAGTTCAAACACACTGATAAAATCATGTTTTATCATCAGCATTATTTAATTTAGTCTCGGTGAATGTTACAATGCTAACATAATTTCTAAAGTGTACAGATGAGAAAAGAGTAGCATTACTTTGCAATTTATTTTTCTCCTTTTCTTGAATTGTAAAGCCACAATGTTTGGGAGAGCATACAACTAGTTCTTTGTCTTTGCATCACTGATCTACAGTTAAACTATTTCAGTACCTGAAGCAAGGCAGCCTGAATGTTTGTGAGGAGTGAAAAGGAAACGTGCAAAGATGAAAAAATGCCTGTGTTCTGGGGGCATACAGCAAAGGGAAAAAAGATTTTTACTTGATGTGTGTGATGACATAGTGATAAGTTTTGGTGTGTGTTCGTGCATTCACTTATTCTTCTCCTAAGTGTTCATAATTCTCCATTTTTAGAAATAGGGAAAATATAGACAACAGGGTCACAGTTTTTCTTACAGGGCAGTTCATAATAATTGATGCCATCGGAGTTTTTTAGCCTGTTGTAAGGCATATATATTTTTCCACTGTTGAAAATGAATTAATAGATATTAGCACAATGGCTGTCTCAAATTGACTCACATAAAAAACCCCAAGACATGAAGTGTCCCAGCTGATATGGGGACTTCTGTAGTTGTCCTAAACCTGTTCAAAATATAGTCTTTCTTCCCTTTTTTCAAAGAGCTTTGCTGTTTTCCTGGAATTTTAAACCAGACTTTCACATCTTTTTGTGTGGAAATTTTTGTGTTTATATTCAGTGGTGCCACTTTGAGCTCCACCTATTGGTAGCCACAGGAAGTGCCTTACTGACAGCATACTGAGGCGGTGATTATTTCAGGCACTTCCTGCTCACTGACCCGAGACAGAGAGTAGCTAAGCCCTTGGATGAGTGTGTTGCAATATATAAAAAAGGCTGGAAGGGAAATTTTGGTCTTTATACTAATGTTTCCTGAAAAACAAGAGTTGGTCTCTAAGGTAGCTTCTACACTGCCTTGCCACTTTTTGTTCCAGTGGCAAGTGTATTATGGAATATGAGGTATAATGTAAGATGTCTTTTCTTTTTACTGTTTTTACTGTTTTTTTACTGTTTTCCTCAGCTTGCTAAGGTTACTCATTCCTGTACAGACAGTTCCCACTGTAAACTGAATTGTTTCCACTAGAGAATTTGTTCTACTGCATTGGCTGGGCTGCCCTGGTGTACAATCCAGTTTGTCCTGTTGCCACCCTGTGTGTCATGGGGATTAATAAGATGGGGTGATTCCCCTCATAGCCAAGGGATCTGAGTATATTAAATCTTAGACATACTGTCCTTTTGTTTGTTTGCTTGTTTAGGTCCTGGAAGTGATGGGATCATGGTAATCTGGAAAGACAACTTTGATTCCCACTATAGTGAAGTGGCTGAGCTTGGCAGGTGCGTTCTGTATGCTGATCTTGAAAGCTGTCTATCTAAAAATACTGACTTCTCTTTCAAAAATTAAATTCTTCTTGATAAATACTTAATGTATGAGCCTAAAAGGCCAGAATTTTGTTGAATTAAATAGAAATGAGGAAGCAAAAATTTTACCAAGACTAGGTGGCATTGCATAAACAGAATGCAATTAGGCGGAAGTGGTATCATAGATGAAGGGATTTATTTTTTTTTAAGCATGCCTTCACTGCTTCCATAGTGAAGTTCTCCTAAACCTTCTTGTTTAGGGAATGAAAACAACAGACAGAAGAAGTCTGAAAATGGGAAAAATAAGTCATATAGAATATACAGCTGTCCAACTTAATGATGACCTTTGAAAGCTGGTTATTACTCTGACAGGTTGTCTGCAAGTGTGATATAACAGATCTCTGTCAAGTTTCTAAAGGCACAATTTTTAGTAGATGCATGCACTGAAAATTCTCATGTCCATAACATTCTCTGTAAGGGTAACTTACTAGAGATCTAAAATTAGATCTCATGGAGTATATCTTTCAAGTAAAAGTATGTCCTTATTGAATCTCTTGGTTAATTATTTTCTTTCATTGTGTGTTCCAGGGGCAGATTTTCTGTCGTTAAGAAGTGTGACCAGAAGGGAACCAAGCGAGCAGTAGCCACTAAGTTTGTGAATAAGAAATTGATGAAGCGAGACCAGGTTACCCATGAACTTGGAGTCATGCAGAATCTTCAGCATCCCCAGCTCATTGGCCTTCTCGATACCTTTGAGACCTCCACCAGCTACGTACTAGTGTTAGAAATGTGTGTGGACTCTAAATTACCTGTAAAATGCTAAGTTACCTGTAAACCTGACTTCTCGGGGTATTTATGGTGGTTTATGAATACGGAGCTCTAAAATGTCAAAGCAGTTTGAAAACAGCTAAGTAAAATACTGTAGTTGTCTAATGCTGTTACTAAAATGTTGACTTTAATACTTAGAAGGGAACAGAGATATGAAATTGGCATGTGGATGATTATCTTAGTCTGAAGGTTCAATGGTATTTTTTCATCAAATGGCCACAAAAGTGAATTAGAAATGTTGTGATCAATGGTAGCTTGATGTGAAATCTCTTCATACCCTAGTCCTCTGTCTTGTAATCTCTGCAGGCTACAGTTACTGCTGTGGTCTGTAGCCTCTTAAGTTTTTTTTTTCCAGTTCTGATGCATGGATTAATCCAAAATACAACCATTGTAATTCTAACAGGGCTGACCAGGGTCGCCTTCTAGACTACGTTGTGCGATGGGGAAGCCTCACAGAAGGGAAGATCAGACTCTACCTGGGAGAGATTCTGGAAGCTGTGCAGTACCTTCATAACTGCAGAATAGCACATTTGGACCTAAAGGTGAGGTGTTAGTGGGATTCTGGGCAATGTGCATCATTCCAGACATAAAAATCTCTCTCTTCTATAAAACTTGCAGCTGGGAACATAGAATTGTGAAATGCTTTGAGAGTCATGAAGGATATGGCTTGGTGCTCCGTTCCCAAATGCTTTACATCACTCATAGCCAGTGAAGCAGAAATTCCCCATGCTTTTGGATATCCTTATAGCTCACTTGCCCTGTGTGGCCCTTTGTGCTAACAGGAAGTTTTACTTGATTATTTATTTATTTACTTTCTGATAAACTTGCAGAAGAAATCAATTTCTTTCTCAAGAAGCATAGTGTTTATTGTGAAAGAGACTGCTTTTCCTCTTTTGCTGCAAAGATGTTTCTCATCTTTGTACTTTGAGGGCTGTGATATCTACATGAATGGTGCCTCTTTGGGCCTTTGTTCTTCCCTTTGTGTGTTACTTGAGCCACAAGAGTTTGATGCATTCCAGTAAAAAAACTATGTGAGAAGGTCTTAATATAAATATTAATTAAAAACTTACTCTTTGCACTTTTCTTTTTTTCACCTGTATATGAATAATAATTTTAGCATTGACAAGTTATCTTTATAGGCAGGGTCTCTTTAGCCAAATAGGGTCATGGTGAGAAAAAGCAACCTGAGTCTCTTCCCTCCATGGACTTCTGTTTTCCAAGCACAACTCATTTTGGGTCTTCATACCATTAATTTTTTTCTAGTGTGCTATACAGAGTTCACCAGTACTTTTTCTGGTCTCACATGCAGATGAACTAATTAAAAACTAGTTGTAGGTAAGTTGCTTGTACTTTGCAGAGATTACAGCTACAGCAGCAGTAGCTTTAAAAATAAAACTGTATAAATAATTCCACTTTCAGCTCACCAATAACGGGGCAGTTCTCTTGAAGTCATGTGCATCCAACAGGATCTTCTGCTGCCATAGTCTCCTAACAGGGTTTGTCTTCCATCTGTGCAGCTGCATTACATGAAAGAGTTGCCAAATAAAGCTGGATTCTGTTGAAAGCATCATGTAAATATCTACAAAGTCTTCCAGTCTTTAAATTCAAGGGTTTTGGTGTCTCTGTCATAAAACAAATGGAGCAGTTGCTTTATTCACCCTCTATTTGTAATTGCTGTTCCCTAAGCTTAAGTTTTGAGACACAGTTCCTGTGAAGCTTTGCAAAGCTGCTGTCATAAACAACTGAAGTATCAACTGGCAGGACTATATTTCCTGCAGAAAATATAGTGCAGAAGCTAAAGCACATTCATTGCGTGTTGCAATAGGCAAGAACCCACCTGCTGGTTGTTCTGGGGAAGCCTTGTTAAGACTGCCTCAGAGCTTTGCAGAGCTGGCCTTCTGCAGTGATCCTTATAGAGTGCAGCTACTGATGTTCTAGAGCTGACCACACCAGGCTGGGAAGCAGTTAAGTTTGAGCGTTAAATGTGTGTTAGACTGACTTGAAAAAAGACATTTTAACTTTTGTTTTTATGTTTTCTAGCCTGAAAATATTTTGGTGGACCAGAGTTCCACTAAGCCAACAATAAAACTGGCTGACTTTGGAGATGCAGTCCAGCTCAATACCATGTATTATATCCACCAGTTACTTGGAAACCCAGAGTTTGCAGCTCCTGAAATTATTCTTGGAAATCCTGTTTCACTCACTTCAGATGTTTGGAGCATTGGAGTGCTCACTTATGTCCTTCTTAGTGGCGTCTCTCCTTTTCTGGATGAAAGTGTAGAGGAAACTTGCCTGAATATTTGCCGCTTAGACTTTAGTTTCCCAGATGACTACTTCAAAGGAGTTAGCCAGAAGGCCAAAGATTTTGTATGCTTCCTACTTCAGGATGACCCAGCTAAGCGTCCCTCGGCTGCACTGGCCCTCCAGGAGCAATGGCTGCAGCTGGGGAATAGCAAAAGTGCTGACAGCATTGATATATCTAGACTGACTTCATTCATTGAGCGGCGAAAACACCAGAATGATGTTCGGCCCATCCGTAGCATTAAAAACTTCTTACAGAGCAGGCTCTTGCCAAGAGTTTGACCTTGCTTGAAGTTCTCTCTCATTCTCTTTCACCTGCCAATCAATCAGACTGGAGATGGACTCCTCCTGCCAATCAATCAGACTGGAGATAGACTCCTTCTGCCAATCAGCTGTTGACTTGAATTTTGAGGAAAGCAAACCCCAAGCCAACCAGCTGCTAGTGAATGTTCGTGTGCAAATGCATTCCACGGGGACCCACGCAGGGTGGTGTGGGGGACTGGAGATGCAGACTTCACGGGGGTGGAGGACAATAGCACTGTACTCAGCAAAAAGCAGTCACAAGCGATACAGCAACAGTATTTTATTCAGGTTTCTGCAAAAAAAAAAAATAGTTTTTTTAATAAACAAGAGTTGAATTTTGCAAGTGAACTTAGCTACCGTTTTCATGATTTATTCAAGGAAGAAATGCCTATGTTTAAAGCACTGGTGTTACACAAAAATCAGATCACGCCTGGAGAAGACTCACCAAAATGGCTGCCCATAGGTACCGCCTCCATTTATAACATCTGGTTTTCACTTGGTCCTAGAGCTTTCCAGTTGCCTCGCCTGTATGTATCTCACGTAGCAGTGCACTGAGATCAGACTCTGCTTTTAAGTGCATCCAACCTCAAAAGATTTTGCATACAAATAGAATGAATTGTTTTGCTCTGATAAAATGTAGGCCTTACTTGTATATAGACTGTTACCTGCCTTCAGTCTGTAATTTTTTCCCCCTCCTCTTATCCTTTTTTCTCCCCTCCTTCCTAAATGGTGGTATACCACTGTGCGGGTCTTCAGTTTGGGTCAGTAGTCACTGTCCCACCAGAAAAGAACCTTGGGTTGGTGCCCAGCTTGCTGACCCAATTGTCAAGCAGTATACAGCAGGATAAAATACTGTAAATGCACTCATTTGGGATTTTGTTTTCTTTCATATCATGTGCAATGTTGTGGCTTTAACATTTTATGCAACTATTTATGAGGACCTCTGTTGTAACTGTAATAAATATATAGAAAAAGCACATGCTTAGTACGGCGAGCTTTATGGTTTTGTTTGTGTGATTGGGGGTTCTGGGTGGGCATGGGTGGGTGTGTTGTAGCCCACTGTAATTTTTAGTTTAAGATGAGGGTTAGCATAGAATTTAGTCAAGACTAGTCAGTTTTAAGGATTGTTAAAAAGAAAAAAATTGAAAAGAGAGAGAGAGATTCATATCCCAAATGTCAAACCAGTTAAGAAGTAGAGTGACACTTTTTAAAATTTATTATGATATTTAAAATGCCAAAGTCTGACTTTCCCCAAATCAATCTCAACACAACTACTTCTTAGAATTTTCAAATATAAGTTTTTTTACTTCCTTCTGTGAAATGAACAAATTAATCTTGTGGTCTTTGGTGATGAATACATTCGGAAAGTAGCAGTCAGATGAGGAGAATTGGACATGTAATGTAATTGTCTTAGTAACTGTTTTTAAGGTTGAAGTAATATTAGCGTGAGATATTTAAAAAGAGATGGTTTTCTGTGCATCACTGAGTTCATGTGGGTGTGTTGTCATCTATGTTTTTGTGAAATGCCATGTTTAAGGAAACCAAGCCGACATCCCACAAGAGTTAGCTATATGGGTTGTTAAGCCATAACCTAGCTTGGGTTAGTTTTGAGCTTTGTGGCTTCCACTGTATCCTATTTATTCTTTTTGTTTTGTTTTGGGGTGGGTTTTTTTGTTTTGTTTTGTTTTTTGGGTTTTTTTTTGTAAAGTTGTACAGAAACTTTTTAAAAGAAAACAACTGACTTTGAAAACTGGATGTGTATTCGTACCAACCTCATATCATTATGTTTCTGTATTATTTTCCTTTATTGTTTTAGTTAATTTTTTTGCTTTATTTTGCATGTATATTTCTTTGTACAGTGACGTTACATGTTTACACAGTATGACATGATGTAAATATTTTATTTTGCCATCAGTTATTTTGAAAAAAATTAAACATATTTGACATAATTGTCTGATCTCTTGCTTTAAGGAGTTTGACAGTTTAGGTTTGGCTATGTTTTAATTTGGCTTTGTATTTTAAAAAAAAGTATGTTACTTTATTGCCATAAAGTTCATTTTAAATTGCAATGATGTATCTTTCCTTCATGACTTACAAAATAATATTTGCCTTTGCTCTAAGTGTTGAGTGCTTTGTAGTGTCATGGATGCTTTTATATAAAACATGCATAACTCTCTAACTGTGGAAATGTATTATGGTCTTTATTAGCTAGTAAATTTTAAACATTAGAGTTTTCTACCAGATGTTCCCAGTAAAAGACCAAAGGATCATATTTCAGTTTAGTATTAAGCCGGGGAACAGATTTCCCACAACTTTCAGGCATTCCTGATTCATTATGAAGAAAAGTTACTTTCAAGTATAAAGATTTGAGATTTGCAACTAAACTCATAAAGCAGAAAAGTTTCTTATTGTGTATATTTATCTTCCTCCCTATTCTGCAATCAGTAACCATTTACAATTCAAAATTAAGTGAAAAGTCAGGGAACAATACAGAGTGTTTATGCTTGTTGCTGAATTGTATACAGGATTCTTTCCCTGCTCTTTACTGCTATTCCCTGTCAGGTGATAAAACAGTCTCTTTATTACTTACTGGGAGAGACATTTTACATATAGAAAGACAGAGGATATTCAGGAAGGACCTATTCACAAGGATGAGCCATTGGAAGCTTTTTCCATGACAGGGCAGTAGATGGCCACATGCTTTGTGGAATGGTTCTTGCCTGAAGATGTACTAAGGGATAAGTTACCCAAGTGCTTTACAGACAATTAATGCACTTACAGGTGTTTCAAGTAGCAGAGATGGATTCTTTGGCTCACATGAAAACAGGAGTGTGCTCTTTCTGGTCCTCTCCATGAGCCCCTTACTTGGGACAACCAGCATATTTCAACAAAGCGAAGTTTTGCACAAAAATCTGCAGTTTGGTGCAAGAGCTTCCAGGTGCACAAAGCTTCAATGATGATCTTGAGCTTCGGATCTTCTACTTGTAAATCTATTTAAATGCTTTTGAAGAGATAATAGAAGGTCCTTTCGTTTCGCCAGATTGTGTAATTGAGGCTGCAAATGCCACTTGGAGTTGATTTGGCACAGTAGTTGACTATCCTGCACACCACAAAGCAACACTGCAGGCTGAGAGTGGAGACCAAAATCATGGGTCAGAGCAGCTGGTGCAAGGCCCTGATGTGGGAATACTGTAGAGCATAGAGAATGGCAGTCAATGTCACAGCTGAAAGGGGGGGAAATAAACAGGGAGATTCAAGAGAAGACACTTAAGTGTTTCTTCTTGATAACACATCCCAAATGTGTTATCAAGATAGTTTAGGAAGAGACGAGGTTGCCTGACCTTAAAGTTGGTGGATTAGATAGTACTTTTGAAGTTGAGGTTGGGAGGCCCATTCTTCATTGCATGTGTAATGAACACTGATTAACTTAAAGGCCATTGTGCAACTGCTAAGCATAAAACCTGAGTAGATAACATTTCCATGATCAGGGAAGCAACCTACATTGTCTTCCTAATGGGCAGAGGCCTAACACATACCTGCCTATGATCCTGTTGACTGTAAGTCATTCTCAGATGGGATTATTAATGTGTTGATGAATAGAAGAAAAAAAAATATTTTTTCTTACTCCAAATCCAAAAGTATGGGGTCAGGCCAGGGCATAACAGGTATCCTTCAGAATGACACAGAAAAAGCATCTGGCTTCTTGAAAATATTTCAGTAACCAAGCAAACCTGACAGGTAGTGAAAAACGCCTGAAAACATAATGGATGTTCTTTGCATGTAACATACTGCATGACATTGCCAGGAAGCATTAAAACCCTACCACAGAGGGTGTCAGTGTAGGACTCCGTTTCAAAGCTGGTGAGTAAGAAATAAATGGTACCAAGGATGGCTGACTTGAGGTTAAGCTCCATGGTTCTCAAAGATGTTAAGAGAAGTGAAGACAGGAATATACTGAACTGCCAGCTGTGGGTAATGAAATCTCTGAGTAGCTGGTATTTGGTGAAGTATTTGTTCAGGCAGTCTTTGCTGCATACAGCAGTGTATCCATGTGCTAGGGATTAGTGTATGAATAGACTCAGTGTGGGGGTGTTACTAATGTCTCTGCTATAGGCATTCAGGTGCATGTAGAGGTAGGTGGAACCAAGGAAATTTCTGTATTTGTTTAAATGAGCTCCAAGTATTGTGGTGCTTTTGTCAGAACCACTGCTTTATCCCTCAGACAAACAACTTCTGAATTTCTTTCTTTCCTAAAATTAAATCTTGATGAAGGTTATATTGGAGAGTAACAGACAGGTTTTCCATCTGTAGAGTTTCTGCTTCCAATATTTTTTGCACATTCATATCACCTCATGCTGTCAGAAGACAAAAGGCTCTTTCTGTTGCATTATAATGCAGGAACACGATGTTCTCTCTGTTCTCTCTCTTTCCTGACAAGTAGAGACCAAACACCCTACTTCACATGCCTGGTGGTCGCCTCATCATTTCCCAGGTAACTGCACTCAGTGGTCCTCAGTGCCATACTGTAACACTGAGCATCAGCACAGGAATGGCATCTCCCATTTCACAGACCTGCCACAGGACTAGGAGCCTGAAGTGTAGGAGCAGGAGAATATATTTCTCTCATGTTGTCCTCAGAACAGGAACGCTTATCTCCTCTAAATCACTGCCCTTAGCCCTCTCCAGAAGTCTTTGGGGGAATGGGGCTGGAGGGGCAGTTGGAGATACTGAGTGGAGCAGTCTGCTCTCCCCCTAGGTAATGTCCAGAGTGCCAGCACCAGGCCTGTTAATCATAAACTCCCACCAACCAATCTGTGCCTTCCAATAGAAAAAAAACATCAACCAACCCTACTATGAGAGGAGAGCACAAACTTCCAGTTTTCTTCACAGGTTATAGGTTAAAATGATGGAACAGGCTAGAGATACATTTGAGGTTTAATACATTGATTCTTTGAGCTCTCTACTGGAAAGATCCTTTCATTGTCTAATTGTCATGAGCAGTAATCTGAACACTGACTTCTCATGAGCTTTTATCTTAATGTGCATTTTCTTGACTGCTGGAGAGAATTTTTGTCTTTGTTGTTCAAGGAAATGTGAAGATGAGGTACTTGAAACTGCATCAGTTGCTGCTGCTGAAGCTTCAGATTCCATCATTATGCCTGTAATATATTGGTTCTCAAGGTTCAAATTTTCTGAAAGAAAATGTCTTCTATCCAAAGAGGACAAATAGGTATAGAAAGAATGAAATCTTAACACCAGAGCAACACCACAATCTCTTCAGACTGAATTTTCAGCTCCCAAAAAATATTCTGTCCATTACCACCCCAGTGTATTCTCATCTGGCATACTCAATGGTCTTTCTACAAAATTATGACTTTGTATCTCATGGAAGAAAAGTCCTTTGAGATTTACTTAACACATAATTGTTGGTTTAGAATAGCTGTAAACCAGTGGTAGCCACAACTTTGTGCAGCAACAGGTTACAAAGTTGAACTATATATTGTGCCAAGAACGCACTGACATCCTCCTTTGATATCTCTGAAGCTTTTAATGGACAGTTCATTACGCCCCCCCCCCCCTTTTGTGTCCTACCTTTGGTTTATGATCTGCTACTTGCTTTTCATTTGGTCATCTGTTTACCAAGCTGAAGAGTACCAGTCTGTTCATTCCTCATGGGGAAGCTATTTCTCATCTTAATTGCCCTTCTCTGAACCTTCCCTAGTTCCAAGTTGTATATTTTCTATGATGGGAGGAGGCAAACCTCATACAATATTTATTATGCAGGTGCATCTTAACTTACACAGCTGGAAAACGACACTTTGTCCTCTATTCCTTTTCTAAAAATTTCAAGTGTTTGACTTCTTTTGAGCTGATACTCTGTAGAATAATAAATCCTGAGATCATGTTGCCAAGTTGAGCTTCAATGGTTCATTTAGAGTCCATGACCATATGTGCAAATCTTGAATTCCTCCTTCAGCACATCCCCCA